TTTTTTTGTTTTAAAATTATATATTTTTTAATTTGTAATTTTTAATGAATTATTTTTTTTTAAATTAAATTGGAATTATTGTTATACTATTAATTAATACTAATGTGATAGCCCGTTAAAGTTAGCAAGTTGTAACTACCTATAATTGAAAGTGCAATTATCATGATAAATTATATGTAACCTAAGTTTAAGTATTTATAATATTGTAACTTTTGTTGGTAGTTCAATAAATAAATAAATAAATAAATAAATAAATAAATAAATAAATAAATAAATAAATAAATAAATAAATAAATCCCCTATTTTAAGGTATCAATTTCGAAAAATTCTAATCGGATGCCTATATCTTATATAGTAGAATACGTCACCCAAATTTAAAGTTTCTTCGAGCCGTGGTTTAGCCTGTGCGTTGACCCCTCAGTCAGACAAAGCCTTTTATATATATGTATAGATTACATTAATTGTCATATTATTAATTACAATTTAAAATGTATTAAAATAAAATGAAATAAAAATTAAGCATCAGTCGCTCGACAGACAGACGGAATAAATTTCTATTATAATTATTATCATTATATTTTTCATGATTATCTTTATATAATCTAAAAAATATATATTTTTATAAAAAGGATTATTTGAATGATGTTCTTAATTTAATAGTAAATATTACATAGATTTATATTATTTAATTTATTTCGTAAGATAAATCGATGTAAAATTATTATCATTATTTTCATTAGTTTGTAAGCCAGCTTCAATAAAAATAGGTATGTACATATCGTGTTTCTTATCCGATAGTATATTATCGATTTATCTGAAAATAAGTTAGATATCGAAAGCCCTCTTAACTTATAATGCAACGGGAATTTCAGGCAAAGATTGCATGAAACGCGTACAGCTAGTACGGTCGGGTGCCCGGCAACAGGTCCAGGGCGCAACGCCCGATCAATACGAGGCACCGCGCCGCCGCACGCCGCCGACCGAGCCCTTTTGATCCCGGCTTTCCACTGTACACGTACAGCGTTGTATATTTGCCTCTCGTTCTTACATAACTAAATTCATCACCTTCTCTGTTCAACTCGCTACTTTACTGCTAACAAATCATGTAAATTCCAATGCAAGCTATACATTGGCACCAGATACATACGAAATACGCTGCGCTTCGTTTTGTATGGACGGTCAGCTCAATGCCGCTACGCCCGCCGACCGAACGATCTCTTTCTCTCGACACGCACACCAGATTCAACTGTGACTACTACACATTCAAATATTGCAATCGATACACACTGATATCGCTATTCATGACAAGAGATACGTATTTTGCATCACAAATAAGATATATTTTAGGCATAGGTACTACGTTTTTAACATTTAAATAAGACCAAAATATAAGTAAATAATGCACTTAAGACGTTTCTAATATAAAGAATTTATTTATTATGCAATACGAAAACAATATATGTTTAAATTGAACCCAAGTTATTCATTTTAATCTGAAAGAAACAAAGTATAAAATAAACTGAAGACTACAAAGCTTAGAGTTAACAAAGAAGTTTTTCTTTTGTCTCTAATAAGTATTTAAAGTAAAATATTATGCGCAAGTTTTATCAGAGAAATATTGTTACCGCAATAGCGTAGGATATTCGAAACCATGTAAAGAGGTTCCAAAAGCTCGCATGGTGTGGGTGGCATGTGATCAGCGCATAAATCTGTCAACTCCAGCAACCCTCTTCGTGGAACACGTATTATATATTATCATTTATCACAATTGCTATCGCCCATGCAAAATATCGATTATACGCAGGACATATGTATTTATAAATTTTGTATAAAGATTATTAAATAATAATAAATATACGTTTTTATGAATGAAATTTATAGTTTAGCTGGTTAAAAGAATGTAAAGTAAAAAAAGATTATACTTAATTTGAAAGATTTGCTTGGTTTAACAAAATAAAAAAAAATCGATATATAAAACATATCGAATGTGCAACCCTTTAATATAAAAATATTAACTGATCAGACAGACGAATTTTGTTAGTGATCTTAGAGCTCATATAACCTATAGACCTTATGGTGAAGGAAAACATCATGAAATTGCATGTCTGAGTGAACCTAGCAAGCTTTCGAAAAACATGAAGTTTGCTAACACGCACTTATCATTTTGACATTAAAAAGAGCCGAATACGAACCTATAGTAAGCACTTTCAGCTTTTACTTTGCGTCCAAATTTTTAACCAACTTTTCCAATTATCCTCTTAATAATAATCGTATTAAGACTCTTATTACGAACATTTAAAAAATGGCGAAATCGGTTGAGCAGTTCTGAAGTTTTATGCATTTACCAAAAAAAAGGATATATACATACAAATTAACATTGTTATTGATGAACAGACAATATTAATTACCTACTTACATTCTACAAAGTACCGATTACCACAAGACATGTAATATAATATAGTGCGGTAAAAAGATACCAGTAATAAATAGACTTAATAATGCTAAGGATTTTATTACTTTACATTTATACAAAACATGACGATAACCTCGTAAGTTGCAGCTTACTCTTCAGTGACATGAGCATTATCTAAGCTGAACAGTAGTATTACGTTGTTACGAATTATTTCTTGTGATGTAAGACCGGTATTACACATAGAAAGGATGACTGACATTAAGTATCAATTTTCCGATTGTTTGAGCGTTCAACGACAGAAATTATAGAGCGAAAGTAAAACACAATCGCACGTTGAATAATGTAATTTTAGAGGAAATACGTTAGCGCAATCACTCGTTATTAGTTGCAAAATACAGGGCGATAAGGGAACAGAGAGCTTCTTATAGCCGAAGCAGCATCCGCTTCACATCCAGATCAAATCAAACGACTAACCCTATCATGTTACTTAATATTGCAGTCCAATAATATCATATGTTTTAAAATACTGCACACTGTACAATATGATTGACATTAATCTATACATATAATAAAATTCTAACAAAGTCAAATCTGTACATTAAATATTTTTTGGAAAATCTTATTGAAATAGACATTATAATCGATACAGAGACCGAATCTATTGTTTTTTAGAATTCTTGTGTGTCTGTCTGTCTGTTACCGCATCACAGAAAAACTACAGGAGGGATTTTGACGAAATTTGGTCTGGTGATAGCTGGTTATCCAGGTCAACATATAGGATACTTTTTACCGCGGGGAAATATTTTATTTCTGAGAAAAAATACAAAAACTGCAATGTAAGGGTATATTAATATGTAAAACCTAAGAATTTGGTTTTCGGCGACGTGAACGCGGGCAGAGCCGCGGGCAATGCTAGTCTATATAATAAAATTGTAACTAAACCGAATCTGTAGGTACATTAAATATTTTTTATGGAAAATCTTATTGAAATAACCATTATTGTCGATACAGAGGCCGAAACTATAGTTTTTAGAATTTTTGTCTTGTCTGCCTGTTACCGCATCACGGAAAACTACTAGAGGGATTTTGATGAAATTTGGTTTGATGATAGCTGATTATCCGGGTCAACATATAGGAAACTTATAAATATAAACAAAAATGCAAACTGTTAAACAGTAAAATATCCTTAATTTAGTATAGTAAGAGATTGCGGAAGATACACAAATGTACTATGTTCCCAAAGACCGGATGAATCAATCGGCGCGAGCGCACCGCACCCAACTCCCATTGAGGGAACTTCTAATTGGATACATCATATTGGCCTATGACGTCACGTGATTCAATTGGCAACAGAGTCACACGTATAAGCGAGCCGAGTAAATCTAAATAGTCATAGCAAACAATAGCAAAGTTATGCACAAGTATAATATTTAAGACGAAAGAAGAGCTTCTGTTAATAGGTTTCTAACTTTCTTTAATTTACAGACAGACGATAATACACGTGTCAACACATGTACGGTGAGGAAATAATGATTTAGGCTACCACGCTAAATATCTTAGCAAAGTTTAAAGTTACAATTTCAAGACTTTAGTGTTTACGAGTGTAAGCAACTAACTGCAGCGGTGATTTGCATTATATTCCTACATACTAGCACTGCCCGCGGCTCCGCCCGCGTTCAGATGATCAAAAACTAAATTCTTAGGTTTTACATATTAGTATACTCTTAAAATGCAGTTTTTGTATTTTTCTCAGAAATGAGATATTGTCCCGCGGTAAAAAGTATCCTATGTGTTGACCTGGATAACCAGCTACCATCATACCAAATTTCATCAAAATCTGTCTAGTAGTTTTTTCGTGATGCGGTAACAGACAGACAGACAGACTGACAGACAAAAATTTTTAAAACTATAGATTCGGCCTCTGTATTGATAATAATGTCTATTTCAATTAGATTTTCCAAAAAATATTTAATGTAAAAATTCGGCTTAGTTACAATTTTATTATATGTATAGATATTTTAATCTTATATAAAAAAAGAAGAAATATAATTAAAAAGGTAATAGCTTTTATCAGTGAATGTTTAATTACGGTTTACAAAATGCTAATTAGTAATTACATTTACTTACACCGAGTTACGTCAAGATAATAATAAAATCATAAAACCTAATCTTTTCAAATATAAAAATGTAAAAACCCATGAAACTATTTTTTTCATTTCCCATATTTTTTATTTTTGACCTGAAGGTGTTCGAGAAGCGGAAGAAAACATTTTGCTTAAATTGAACACGCGAACTTACACTTTAGTAAACAGTGCAGTACCAATGCAGTAATGCCAATTCTTATACACGTTGTTTATCGTGTCAGTTTTTCTATATAATACATATTAATGACTGATATTATATGCCGTAACAATAGACTAGAAAAACAAGAAATATTAGAGCGCTGTGTATAACAATTGTTGTGTGGTTTGTTTGCGGCGTCAACTCGGCCAGCTATTACGATATTACTGAAAACGTAACATAGCATCCCCACTTGCCTCATAGTTACATCTTTTAGGGCTGATGCACCATCAGTGTGTAGCACGCTATGAGTGTTGCGAGGCGCTTTGCGACCATTCCGGGACCCAAGCCACTTCCCTTACTGGGAAACTCATGGCGTTTTGCACTCGGTCAGAAGCCATGGCGAACTCGAAACTTAGATCTTACTTTGTGGAATTTACGAGCCTTAGCCGGCGCAGGGGGTGCGGCTAAAGTGGCCAAACTGTTTGGGCATCCCGATTTGATATTTCCATTTTGTGCGGAAGAAACGGCAAAAATATATCGACGTGAAGACTCTATGCCACATCGAGCGGTTGCTCCATGTCTTAAACATTACAAACAGGAGCTAAGAAAAGAATTTTTTGGCGACGAACCAGGCTTGATAGGCGTGTAAGTGTAGTCTCAAGCAGTGATACTCTAGAAGTTCCTACTAATTTTGAAGTACATTGATTATTTTATAAATATAATGTTATATCTCTTAACAGGCACGGCATGCCATGGTCAAAGTTTAGATCTAAAGTATCGAAAGCTCTTGTAGCTCCGGAAGCTGCAAGGTCCGCTGTCCCGTCACTAGACGACGTAGCCAAAGATTTTATCGCGAGGTAAGTCACAAGTCAAACTTTGAACATTAGTGAATATTTTGTAGCGGTCGTGTCATGATTCAAATAGGAAACAATTAAAAATCATTATTGAATGTATGTCAAGTGTACCGCTACTCAAAGTTAACAATTGCGTAACGCAACGCAAAGTTTGCCAAATAAGCATTATTTATTCTTTCAGCTATTCGATATGTACAGTGTATAAACTGTTCTTTAATGATATTCTAATTATACTAATATTATTACTTGACTTTCACAGGATTATAATTATGTTAATAGACTAGAATGATTGCATTTTATACTTAATTAATAAATCATTGTAGTGCAATTATGTTCTTTGAATTAATGTGTCTACAAATTGTTTGCATATTACGTGTAGTTTAAAAAAAAAAATTTAATTAAGTATTATTGTTCACACTTATAGTGATTGTTAATCCATTATTTTTTATACATAATTGATAAGACGTAAAATCATGTCATAATGTAACGTAAGTCTTCTATAGCAATAATCATGAACGGTAAATGTGTATTTAAAAAACGATAAAATTCTATCATCATATTGTAACTGGGACCAAACATATAACGTGAATCGAAGACATCATTAGGCGCACCGTGATACCGTGTTATCGAGAACCTGTCATGACTTCATAAACTGTAAATAAATCAACAATTCTGCGGAATATCAACTCGAGTATCTATTTACATACAATTTGCTACGTAGCGTAGTATTTAACACATTATCACTCAGAACCTTCTCCATTGTGAAGTAGTATCAAGTCTATTATAGCGAGAAATGTAGGCAGAGCGCAGAATCACGGTTTAATGACCACATCCGCTTCCAACAACGACGGCGTCTGAGTATTTGTTTTGCATGTTGTATACTGAGTCACTTCGGGATACAACAATCTCATTCAATGAAAAAGTGACGTTCCGAATAAGTGGCTTCGACGCTTTGCATTTAGCATACTCGTACAAAATTAAGATACTCGCTTTACTATGTTGATTGTTGTTTAAATTATTATCACTCTGCATTTCTTACAGAATGGAAATTATTATGGTTGATCGAGAGCTTCCTGCAGATTTTCTAACAGAACTATACAAATGGGCTTTAGAGTGTATGTACAGTATTTCTTAAAGGCTATATAATCTTTATATATAATCGTTTTATGGGAAGTATGTATGGATAATGATAAAAAAATTATTGAACATTTGCAGCTGTTGGGGCTTGGGCATTAGGCACAAGATTAGGATGCCTAAGTGACAATGATAGAGATGCCAAAGAAATAATAAAAAACATACATGGATTTTTTCATAGCGTCCCAGAACTTGAATTATCCGCTCCTTTATGGAGAGTGTATTCTACGCCCGCTTACAAAACGTATGTTAAGGCATTAGACTCTTTCAGAGCGATTTGTTTAAAAAGACTAACAGATAAAGGGATTTGTGCTCAAATTGCTAAAGTATCAGGCGAGAAGGTAGCTACTATACTGGCCTTAGACCTATTATTAGTGGGTGTGGACACGACGGCGGCTGCAGCGGCTAGCACTATCTATTTATTAGCACGGAATAATAGGGCACAAAGGAGGTTACAAAACGAGTTGGACAATAAACTACCTACAGGACGAACTCTTAACAGCAAAGATTTAGACCAATTGCCATATTTACGCGCATGCATCAAGGAAGCATTACGGTAAATTTACTACTTTTTTATACCTAAGAAATTTAATCTATTCCTAGTATAAAACAAGTTGCTATCTGCGACTTTCTGTTCCTCCGCTTACATCTTCTAAACCACGAAACGGATTATGATACGAATTTGACTAATGGAAAGAGCGAACAAGTAAACAAGACGGTTTATGTATATATAATTTGTAAAAAATTTGTACACAAGCCTACACGGTGTTTTGTCAAAAAAAACTGTTTTCGTACGATTACACTGCTAACGATGGCTAAACCTTTAGAGATACATTAAAACAATATACTAGAAAATTGTAGATCTTAAAAAGGCCTACACAAAAGTCCGCAATAGCATGTGTCTATCTCCTAAGGTACGCTCACAGTAACTACTTATATCAATTTAAAACGTACCTAGGAACGCACCTGGGCGCAGCAAGGGTAAGCTGCTAGATACAATATAATGCGGATAATACGTTTGTTCTGTTAGGTTGTTTAGATTAATATAAGGATTTAGACAATGCTTTTGATCTCAGTGGCATAGTATTAAGTTACTTTATATGCAGCGTTACTCATACTTACCGACACTCAGCGGTTTAAGCGGTTTCGTATTTATGTTGCACCACTACGTAAAAGCAATGCAGATATATTTACTGGAAACAACCACGCGCTGGCTAATGTTTTATTCAGTTATACTGAGACATCTTGATGCTTTTGGTTATGAAAAGTTTCGTTAAAATTAGCTTCAACAATATAAATTTCAAATGTAAAATCTTTATATAAATAAAATAAATAAGTAATATTATAGACACTATGATTGATTTTATTATGGTTATACTTTATTACTACTTCAAAATGTATCAATGATTTGTGACATACAGATGCATATACATACATATTATATGAACTCCTACTAAACGTAGCATACACTTGCACCTATTGCACATAGTGAGAACCGAAAACACAAACACAACTTACTTACACAAACTACACTTTGATGATATAACAAAGTATTAAATTAATAATTTATAATGTTAAAATTTATGCTGTTAAAAAATATTTACTTGCAATTATTAAATCTGGAACATGTAACCACCAGCTATAATAGTAGAACCAGTTAAACAACGTTAACTTATACGTACTCTAACATAACGTAATACTTTCTTAGATTTACGCGAATATTTGACATTTTAAATAAAACTATCTTTTCGGATTATTTAACGTCGAGGACCAAAATAAATCCGCGAAATAATCCGAAAAGATAGTTTTATCTAACATATCGTGTTAGAATTAATAGTACGAGTACCTACCTATTGTCTAAATTTATCGTGCAATTTATGAAAATCGATTTTAGCATTGCCGTTCAATTAAATGTTCAATTATTATTCTAGGATCAAGCCTGTCATTTTGGGAAATGGACGATGCATACAAACTGACGCCATTATTTCGGGATATGAGGTTCCCAAGGGGGTAATTGCTACAATTTGTCATCCAATTTTATTACAACATGCATTATTATTGTAAATTTTAATGTTTAAATTTTTCCTCTACAGTCCCACATCGTCTTTCCTCACTACATTATGTCTAATGAAGAACGATATTTTCCTAGCCCACAGGAATATATACCAGAACGTTGGTTAAGGGAAACTAGTAAAGAAGAACCCTGCGATAAGCACGGGGATCATACTAAAAATAAATCTACAAATAACAATTCTAATACATTATGTGAACATGCTAAAACATTTTCAGTTTGGAAAAAGCAAACCGAAATAGGGATCCACCCATTCGCATCTCTTCCGTTTGGATTTGGTCGAAGAATGTGTATTGGGAAGAGATTCGCTGAAGCGGAATTACAGCTTTTGCTGGCTAAGGTAATGTTTTAGTATTAAATATTATTGTTGAAAGAAATATCGCTAGTACAATGACACTTTTCGTAATAATAAAAGTTTTGTGTTGCTACAATGCACTACTAAGTATTAGTATCTAGTGTAATTGCTTGGGAACTTGCACTGCAGTCTATGTAAATTATACTTATGTATGCTTGTACTATAAACTCGTAGTCAACTTGTTGTGTTTATAAAAGGAAAAAAATCTCGTAACGACGCATAAATATAATTAAAAACTCTTGGACGAGCGTCTGTCGCGGGATCACGTGAAAATAATGGGATGAATTTTAATGAGATTTTCGGTCGTATAGGACTAAACATCCCGTTAATGCCATAAGGTGCATTCATTTCATATGTAATGTTAAATAATTCAAAGCACGGGTTATGTCTGGTAAATGTGGAGATTTGTATCGTTTTTTTTTTTCATAAAAAATAGAACAAAATGCACTATAAAGCTTGTATAAAAACTACATTTCTGTAGTATATAATTTAACGGCTCGTAACGTTTTACAGATGAAAAATTATTATGAAGAAGCATAATTATTACTTTTGCAATGTAGTAGTTAATTAAATTACATTAGGTGACTCCGTGTATATAATAGGTATATCAGAGAGACATCATATAAGTTAAAAAACCTAAAGGAACCTATCCCACGGTAACTATACATTTTTCCGGGATAAAATTAGCCTATGTAGCTATTCCAGACTATAATCTATCTCTGTGCCAAATTTCATCCAGATCCGTTTAGCCGTTCTAGCGTGATTAAGTAACAAACATTCAAACATCCATCTAAACTTTCACATTGATAATATTAATAATGAATTGAATTGTAGCTTCTCTTCAAACTGCTTTTAAATTATTTAGGAACATGTTATTTAAGAATAAAAATGAAAATATGGGTAATGTTTTTGTTTTAGATGTTCCATAAATATAATGTATCTTGGAGATACGGGGAGCTAACATACAGCGTAACGCCGACTTATGTGCCCAACGAACCTTTGCAATTTACAATGGATTTGAGGGAGAAAAACAAATATTAGATCATTTGAAAAACCATGCCTAAGACTAGCTGACAAGTATCTCATTGAATAAAATATTTTAAGCATGTACCTAGTTATATAAGAGTAATAAAATAAAAAAAATGACTTAATTACAGCACTAATACTAATTTAATCAAATAGGTAGTTCCAGTCAAGTGATAACGCGCACCTTTAGAAAATCTAGCGAAGCCGATTTTAACCGAGTCGTACCTATAATATTTTGATGTATTTTGCGTATCTACGATACGACTGTCGATTTTAATCAAATTTTGTATTTAGATGAGGTTTAGCTTTTTAAGTTTATCTATATAGATCTCATATAAATATCATCTAAACCTATATAAGTCTTTCTGAAAAATTATTACGTACTTAATATTATGTTAAGTAAAAAAAAATAATCAGCGAAACAACATGAGTATACTCACTATTTAGCAGAGTCATTGAGTTGGTACTCATTAGAGCGTCCGAAGCACTCCTGTACGCCGGCGTCCGCCCACAGTCTCTTCATAGCCGCGAGCAGTTCCTCGCTGAACGGCTCCGTGTCCTCCATCCGTTGGATTACATCAAACACCATCTTGCCGTCGCTCTGTATATCAATTGTATCGGTTACATAAAGAATTCGTTAATTAATAGAACATTCGAAGATATTAGCCATAATTGTAAATTAAAAAACCCCCAACGCAAATTATTTGTCATTTGACGATTACACTGGCACGCGTGAAGCACTTAATCGGGTAATCATACGTCAAAATGACTTACATCATTTTGGAAAAGAGCTGCTACTCTTACACTGCTGGACAGATATTAATCAAACATAGCTAAGAACCACCACAAGGAAACTGGCTTTCAAATGAAAAAACCGCATCGAAATCGGTCCATCCATTTGAGAGCTACGATGCCACAGACAGACAGACACATACACAGAGAGACACAGATATCGACGTCAAACTTATAACACCCCTCTTTTTGCGTCTAGGGTTAAAAAATATATTTGAGTGAAACGCTCTATGGAATATCTAAATAATCATTTTTACATAATAAGTCTAAGAGTGAGCGAAATATTTCTGCATAATAATAAAAATACCTGTGAGATGAATCATTTAAGAATATGTGTGATTATGTTGACACCATCTCTTGACAAAAGGTGATAAATATCCACTACATTGATATATAGAGATAGGTAAGTACTTTATTACGTAAAATTCTGTCATTTCGTAATTCTTAGCAACAAAGTTTAAATTTTTTATTGAACAAAATTTCAAAACAATCCATATTAGCATTCTCATAGATAAGAATTTACACACAATATTTCCAACGTCTAGTACATAAGGGGTGAGAGGCGCCATTCGTACGACGACACGACTGAATCATTTTTAGATAATAACAACTAACAAGTATTCATACAACGAGAACGAGTAATTAAACTTCTTTTGAATGATAAATGAATACACATATCAAGTACAGAGCGTTATTAATAAACAAACCTATCCCACGGGAACCGTACATTTCTCCGGGATAAAAAGTAGCCTATGTGTTATTCCAGACTATAATCTATCTCTGTGCCAAATTTCATCCAGATCCGTTCAGCCGTTCTGGCGTGAAAGAGTAACAAACATCCATACATACATACTCAAAAACTTTCATATTTATAATATTAGTAGGCATAGATATCTATACTAATAATATTAAAAAGTTTGTGAGATTGTGAGTTTGTGACGTTGTAGGGAGTAATCTCTGGATCTACTGAACCGATTTAGATAAAATTTGGTAAGAAGATAGTTTGAAACCCTGGGAAGGACATAGGATACTTTTTATTCCAGAAATCATTACATAAGGGTGTGAAAATGAGGATGAAAGTTTGTATGGGGAATCAAAAAAGCTAGTTAAATAATAAAGTATAATAATTGCTTGAACAACAGAAACTTTAATTGGCAGATTGGGTTAACACTTACAAGGTAAAAATTATTCTTATATGGAGACAATTAATAATAATTAGTTTTCTGTATATAAATATGTATTATAAATAAAAAAAAAACATATAATTATAAAAGAAATTAGATTTGAAAAGTTCGAAGTTAAAATGGATGAGCGTAATTTTAAGAAAATTAAAATGAAAATCCCTCACAACATGTAGTTCAAAACGTCTAACTTTAAATATATTGGCCTCTATAATCTTTATAATAGGATAATTAACAAGCAGGCAAGTTGTCGAAGCATTTATTTGCATGTTCGCTGCTTCAAGCAATCAAACAGTGATAGTTTTATTTAAAACAATCAAACAGTTCTTCAAGTTCTAGTTAATAGAAATTCTAACACACTTTCCTCCTCGATTTTCGTTCTTTAAAAATAATAGAAATCGCAAGGCTTATCCATCATAATTATTCAATAACAATTAAATTTTCTCATGAAACTTCTCAAAAACGTTGAAAGTTTATAATATTTGTTTGGAATTTACCATGATATCTTCTCAAGTCAAAAAGCCCTTAGGAACACAACACAGAGTCGGAATTCAGGTGCTAAAAAGAGAGCTGAACGGTATACAGACATATATTGTATTCTTTTTTCAAAACATTCTGACTCGATTAAAGTGGATCGTAACATAATAATGTGGAAAATAATATAAGATTTAAAAATAGAAATGTAAAAATTTTCTACATATTACTAACTACCGACTCACTCTCGCTTCGCTCAAGTTCGTCCCTAGCTTGATTCCCCATACAAACTTTCATCCCCATTTTCACTCCCTTAAGAGATTATTTCCAGGATAAAAAGTATCCTACATCCTTCCCAGGGTCCTCAAACTATCTTCTTACCAAATATCATCTAATCGGTTCAGTAGATCCAGAGATTACCCTCTACATCGTCACAAACACACAAACTCTACCTCTTTATAATATTATATAGTATAGATTTACAGCAATATACTTGAATCTTTATTTTTTAAACAATGTTTGTGACAAACGAAACGGGAGCAATATTCGTATCTATAGTAAATCATTCATCACTGGCGCAATCAATCGTAAACATGTAATAAAGAAGAACAACGAAGGATGATCGAAGATTCAATTCGATGCGACATCATGTTGCGTCATGTCTTATGACGAAGTTAATTACAGTGTTTTCGTTAAACGGTCTATGTTTCAGCTGTTGCGTAACATGTTCAGGGCTGATGTGACACTCAAGTCCTCTATCTAAAGCTCACTTCACACATGCTTTGTATGTGACAAGAACGTTTACTACTTAAATGTGGTCGAATGATAAAAGACGTCGTGAATAAAAAGTATACTTTATTTTTAGTCGTCACTCCAATGTAAATATAGATGATCAAAAAGATATTATTCTGAATTTGTAAATGACGTTATATTAAAGAAATTCCTATAACAATTACTTAGGTACATTTATAAAACTATTCACAACGTCAAAACAAAATTTATTGTGTGATCAAAATTTATTTTAAAATATATCCGAAAATAACATTAAACTTTAAGTAATAGTACAAAAAAATGTTTTAAAAGATAAGAAAATCGAAAGTGCATCATATTACAAGACTTCCGCGATAAACAATAGCATTCCCAAGGGGGGTTGACGTCAGGCAGGCGGCCGGTCGTAAAACTTTTGCCAAATCCTATCAGCAGTACAGAAGATGTACTGCGCCGACCCCAAGTGATTGGAAAATGGGCAGGGAGAAGAAGAATTTGGTATTATTTAATAAAAAAAAACTAAACGTTGGTCTAAGATTAAATGTGCTAAAATGAAGCAATGCCGTGTGATCATACGATCGTCGATCGTAAAGGCAATTTCATTAATCAATTTTTTTTAAAGTTAAACATTTCATGTGAATTAACCTTTAAATTGATGAAGAACAAGATTGTGATAAGCTATCGTAGCGCACACCTAACCGCATGTATATACCTACTGTTTGACATTCTTAGTAAGTGGTAAGTACACAAAGTAACTTTGAAAGGCGCCGGTTATAGTCATACCGTGAACTAAATTGTAATAAAGGCAGTGGTAGCATAGTGAGTGAAGGGGGTTCAAATCACGTGTGTGAATAATTTCCAATATGATTACCACTTGTCTTACGGTGAAGGAAAACATCGTAAAAACACCTGCATGTCTGGGGGAACCTAGCAAGTTATCCAAAGACATGTCAAGTCCGCTAACCCGCACTCGGCCAGCGTGGTGGACTATGGCCTGATCCCCCTCGTATTGAAGGCCCGTGCCCAGTAATGGGACGGTATAAAGAGCTGAATACGGAATCGTAGTAGTGATATAGTATATCTTATAAATACACAAAAAAATGTATTATACACAATTATGCATTTGAATCATTTTTTTAACGAGCAAAGTATTGTATGCGACAATTTTTAATTACTGAACAAATTATCAAATATTTTAGAACAATGACGACCGACTATTCTTCTGTACACATTGAATGGCGTACCCAATGGAGCTATTGTTTTGTTGCCAAACAGTACGCTTAATAAATATGCAAGTGGTGAATAAAATGCAATACAAAACGAACCTGCGAAGAGAGTATAAAAAATAAAAATATAAAAATGTAATGGACATATTATAAAAATAAATTCAAACTCTATCACTCTGTGTGTAGAAAAAATATAGTTAAAGTAACCAAAATTCTTAAAACTATTATTATTATATATCTCAATTCTCATATTAATATTATGTAACATCACCTAGCCACTCAGATATCGAGTGACTAGGTCGCATTACACTAAGGTAAATCAAAACCCCGAGTCCTGAATACGTGAGTCATCTACATAATATATAAGTTAATATAACGATTGTTCAACGTCGACCTTTACCATTAGAAACAGAATGACTTGTTCCAGAAAAACTTTGTTTTCGAAAAGTAAAAGAAAATTTTATGAACTGTTTATATAAGCTAAAATCAGAGGTTTCACAAGCTCTGAAAGGAAATTATACTAGCGACTTGCCCTCGCTGCGCTCGGGTGCGTCCCTAGGTACTTTTTAAATAGATATACATAAATAGTTTTTAGCCAGTGTTAGCCATGTAAATTTTATGTTTTTTCGTGTTTTTTCCCGATGTTTTTATAGTTATTCTATTATTCGGGGCGTAGACAAATCCAACAAATCAAAGATCATAAAAATCGGTCCAGCCGTTCTTGAGTTATAAATGGTGTAACTAACCCGACTTTGTCCATATATAATATAGATTTGTTAATAAAAGTATGTATAATATAAAATAAATTTCAAGAAATTGTGATACTTGTTCTCGTCTAATTTTAAGATAATGTATGTTATAGTAAATATTCTAAATTTTTGATTTATAAAAATAATTATTAATTGTATTGTGTATTCAACCCTTTTTAACGTCCCACTGCTGGGTACGGGCCTCCCAATACGAGGTGATCAGGCCATAGTCCACCACGCTGGCCAAGTGCGGGTTGGCGGACTTCACATGTCTTTCGAAAACTTGCTAGGTTCTCTCAGACATGCAGGTTTCCTCACAATGTTTTCCTTCACCGAAATACAAGTGGTAATCATGTTGGAAATGATTCGCACATGAAAAAATCAGAGGTGCGAGACCCGAGATTTGAACCC